ATAGCGACTTTGTGTAATACTAGCCGTTCAGTGTTTTTTTTTGGGAAAGTAAGATGGCACAGTCCTATGTCCAAAAGTTGGCAAAGTCTCGCAGAAGACACCGTCTCTCTTCAGTTGTCACTTAGGCGGTTTTGACAAGTCAGGTCAGATAGCTATGTTCCCTTTTTAGTTCCTGACCACTTTTGCGCGTTTCCCGAGGACTATTACTTCATTTCGTCTAAGTTCCCATTGGCCGGACTAATCGTCTAGTCTGGCCAGTCCACACAATCAATCAAATGCAAAATCCTGCTCAGGCAAAAAGTAATGAATGCTCCACATAATTAGACAATGCTAAAACCCATCGATATAGAGAATTCATAGACGATTTAATGCATGTTCAAAGGACATTCAATCGGCGACTGATCGCCAGAGAATGTGTCTAGGCCCTTGAGGACAATTCCTGCCGGCGGCGCGATTCGATTGACATGTTTTCTTTCTAAGATCCTCAATCCAATTACGTTTCTCTACACACCTCATTTATTTGATCTTGATCCTCTTCTTATTGTTATTATTCTTACAGACGTTACTATATAATAGCTATTGCCGTTGTTATTACAGTCATTATTATTATTATTTATATTATTCTGTAATAGCTGATAACGTCTTTTTGGCTGCCTCTGATCCTCCACTCGTGTCCTGTGACTTTTTGTAACATAACTTTTTGGTTACTGCTGTCTTCTTGTTCTTTGCGACCTGTGTGCATACCTGTGTGTTTATGACCCGTGTTGGTAATGCATGTTGCTTGGTAATCAGTTTATCAGTAGTTAGTTGTTATTATTACTGCCTTAAATATTATTGTTACTTTTATACCTACGTGGTGAGCTGCCATGGAGAAGCGCCCCCGCGCTGCTCATCATTAGCATTATGAAAAACTTGGTAAGAATTATTTTCCAGAATTAATTACCTCTACCATTCAGATGTCATCGGCAGGGCCTGCGTTGTAAAAAAAATGACGACATTCATTCAGCAAATACAAACACTTGGCAAGAAAGGGTAGAGCTGACATTCCTCAATGGAGCTTTTGAAATTGAGTGAAGGTAAAAAAAAAGTTGGACCTGTGTTTCCACGTCGCATGTCAGGTAAGGAGAGCGAACGTAAGTCCAGTTAGCATAAATGTTGAGCTATTCTGGTTGCTATACGAGCCTTAACGATTGCCTTCGCATTAAATTTTGGGCATTTTTTTTCGAGAAATTTTTCATTGCGAAAAAAATATACTGATATCATCAAAAATCAGTTTTCATTAGACCTCGGTAAGCTTAATCACGGGAGGGGTGGCAAAGTCTTGACGTTAAATAGATGGCTATGATTAAATAGAGGACTGATTGACAGCCATGGCGATTGAGTGATAATCGCGAATGTGCTAAGGGAGAAGGTGATGCATATGTAGGACTGTCGATCATCAGTGACGACAGCGGAAAGGAACCAATTTTCGCCGGTGGTAAGCTTGAAGGAAAGTGATATTCGGAAATAGTCACTGGAGATGGTGCCGCGTACATGGATAGAGGAGTATAGGTAGAGTTAGTTAAGATATGGAGTTAATAGCGTTTAGTAATAAGAGTTAGTAGAATAGAGAGCGGACTAAAATAGCGGCCCGCGCCATTTGCCACGTCCCAACGGCTGGCCGTGGTTGGTCGGTTTCGACCAGCCGGAAGACTTCAGTCGAACTGGGCTCACTCGTCGCACGTCATTTTCTTTTATATTACTATTACTTTTTACTTTACTATTACTATCATTACTATTAACAGTTACTGTGGTATCGGTTTGTGGCGGTGCAAGTCGATAACATAGGGAATGTGGAACCGACAGCCTTTCGTGAGTGCGAGCTGAATCTGTTATTTGTCGTCGGTACTTTAGTTCGACAGCTTCAGGAGATTAAAACGGTCAAAAAGAAGGGTAGAAAATGATATCGTCATTTTAGGCAAGTTTTGCTGAGACATCATTTGCATATACTATATCTGTGTACGTACATACATACATACATACGTAACTTTGGAGTATTGGACATTTTTCGTTTTTTTTGGTCTCTGGCTGGTCTTGGTCAATCTGTAGGCCGATGGCAGCGGAGGGTGCCGAGCTCCGTATTCACAGTGGGGCTTATTCTTCATTCATTCATATATATATATATATATATATATATATATATATATATATATATATATATATAATTTGGACGACATCACTCGCATCTTCATCATCATTGCCACTACCTACTTATCTATATAGCTATATGTATATCATCATAGATAGTTTATATTATAATGCCACCGACCTCTTGGCATTATATTCGGTGTCTTGTTGACGTTCCTATTTCTTTCTCATTTCATCTATAATAATGGTTGCGATCTGTCCTTACGACTTATTTTAGCTACCGTAAACATCATTCGTATGTGTATATCACGACATACCATTGTAACTAAGTATTAATCTCAATAATCATTTTCATCTTTATGATCTTGTTGTTGATTGACACTTTCAGTTGTCGTATGGGTTATGTTACTTGTGATGTTACATTACCATCAAGCGCAGCGGAATCTTTCCGCCATCGGAAGCTCATCATCCATTGCAGATCTAACTTCGTACTGCTGTGTGTCTGTGTGTGCAAGCTTTAGACCGGCAAGACGGATGTCGAGAACAGGACATGAAATAGGACCTAATGACTAAGGTTGCTGTATGTATTTCTTCCACTTTCTGCTTGTCCTGTTTACCTTTACCTATAATCGTTTTCGTCGTCGTCACATTTTTTTACCCAGTAGTTCAAATTTGGTTAAAGATCCCGTTCACTTTTCTGTAGCAGTATCTGTTGTACCCAGTTGATGTAATGGTAGCTCAAGTTCAGATCGCACAACGCCGTCGCAACAAGACAGACTGTGCAAATCCGTCACCGTTATCGTAGCATCACCATCCTTATACGCATTTCGTCTCCGATATATCCGTCTAAAGTTTCCATATTTGCCATTGCTGTGCTTAGCATCATCGAGGCTAAATTCTATTCATCTATATTCGCCTTGTTGGTTATTAAGATTTACCGTTGACATATTTGTGTTTGTATATATATAAACAAAGCTTGGCATTAACACGTTGATCAACCAACATCTTCCTTTTGAGCTTCAGTTAGTATATTTGATGTCAACTACTTCGTTGACTTGTTCGTGTTGGCCACCAGGAGGCAGTAGTTACAGTTGGGGTTAGATTATCCGCCATTTTTTAATAATCACTTCATTGTTGTCTATTAGCGCCAATTTTCATTTGATTTCGTTTCTGCCTTTCGAACCTTTTAAATCTCTCGCCTAGTTTGTCTATTGTCTCGACAGCGGGACTCTTTCAAATGGGACTTTTGGCATCTAGAACGCCTTTGTTTACCGAAAGCATAGATAATTAGTGGTATTCTTTTTGTGGAATTCACTCGATTGACTTACACATGTTTATATCGTTGTGTATGTAAAGGTTATCATCAGACTGGGCACTTATTATCGGACGTCGGCATCTTTTACTCTCTGATTCTTATGAGTGGAACGCGTTCTGCGCGTAAATGCAAAACACTTTTAAACTGTTGAGGATCACTATGTGTATATGTATATTGCAATCGGCTGTCATAAATTAGTTGAATTGAACCCGACAAAGGAGGTTAAACCTGGTTCGACTGAATCAGTTGTGCTTTATCGTTCATTTTGTTCCCATCTTAATCTGACGCTATCAACATTTTCGAGTTAAGTCATAAGGCCAGAAACAGTCGGAAGCGGCAAAGGAGAAAGCCTGGTGGAAAAGATGGATACACTTCTGTGAAGAGATCGTCAGAGATAAGTGATAGGGTTTGTGAATGGTATCTTGAGCTCTTGGCGTCAATCATCAATATGTGGTTCTTACGCCTCAAACTTGTTGCTTTAGTAATTACTCGGATAATGGACAACGTGTCTGCAATACGTTCTAATGTTAAGCTGTCGTCAGTAATGGCCGCCGTACTAGTCATTTTATTGTTGTTGTTGGAAATAGGCTCTGTTTTTAATCGCTTTTTTCGCAGTTATATTTTTCATTTCCGTTCGATTCTGTTGGTGCTGTGGTCCGCTTGACTGTTTGATTCTATTGTTTTGCTGTTGATGCTGTTTGTCAGATTCTCATTTGCCCCTGGTAGTAGTACTAGCAGTCGTTGTTATTATTATTGCCGTGGCTGTTGTCCAGTCTGGCTTGTAAAATATGTAAGCGGCGGTTCCCGGTCCCGTTTCTCAGCTGGATAAGCAGGATGTCACTCTCGTCTTCTGCTGGATATTGCTGAATGTAGTATGCCTACATGATATAGTTCCTCGCCATTTGGCCGGTAGGTGTTTGTATTCTGGACACCTTCGACCACGTGCGTGCTGCCCCTGCACCACAACAGCAGCCAGCAGCAGTAGTAGAAGGCATTTTATCCCTGATGATGCTAGTAATGGTAATGCTTAATCCAGTGTGTGCAGGTGGAACCAGCTGGCTGGCTGGCTGGCTGATATTATCGAAGTGCAGCTGTTCAACGACAGTGATCGGGTATTTGTTCTTTCGATAATCCGGCTTTTCTCCATCTCGCTTTTTTGTCGTTCAGCTGTTGCAGCATGAACGTATGTTACATGAGTGTTTCTGTCGGGATTTCCTCGCCACATACGTAGAGAGAAAACGATCATATATCTTCGGCGTCCTTCTTCGCCTTGTCTGCCCTGGCAACGGCGTAATTGGGTTTAATTATGATAATTAGAGAACCATAGACAAGATTAACGTGTGTCTGTCCGTGTGTGTGTTTGCGTGAATGTTTAAGTGAATGACTTATTGAGAGACTGAGACTGTTTAGCCGCAGGAAAAACAACACACAACAACAACGTACGCCGCTTCTTATCGTCATCACCGCCTTTGCTGTATTCGTAGTCGTCATTGTCGTCGTCATTGTCGTCGTCGTTGTCGTCGTCATTGTCGTCGTCGTCGTCGTTGTCGTCGTCATTGTCGTCGTCGTTGTCGTCGTCATTGTCGTCGTCATCGTCATCATCGTTGTCGTCGTCGTCGTCGTCGTCGCCGCCGTGGTCATAGTTCTACGGCGGCTGCGGCGTTGGCCATGTTAAATACGATTACGTGTAACCAACGAGAGCCGCTTAGGGACGTTTCTACTCCGCACACTTCAGATCGCGCAGACAACCAGCAGAGGCCAATCCTCTGACTATGATTTTTATTTACTCTCGACTGCAGTCGCTCTGTGTACGTATAACATAGCCGACGTACGTTAAGCCCCCTATTCCCATGTGTCGGAAATACATTTAGCGATGCTGTGAGATTCTCTTCCCGTTTCATCAGGGATACCCCACACAGGACTATGTGAATCTATCTAGACAGGTATAGATGTCATCAGAGTTGGTCTTGTTGCTATTATTGTTTTTACCGCCGTTTGGGAGCAGAGGACTGATTGTGTCCGTCGGCTATCTGGCGCTGCCGCGACTAGTCATCGCCTTCGTCATAGTAGTATGATCATTATAAGTTGTAGTAGTAGCGAGTTACAAGTGTCGACTTTTACATAATAACAACATTTAAACACATTGTTCGGCTATTAACATCGCTACATATGATTGTAGTAGTAATGCATCTAACAAATAAATGCCTTAATGGGTCTTGTGGTTGCTTGCTTGGGCGGTTGGTAACCGTAACCTTAAGTAAATGTAACCGCTTATCAATAATTATACAGTAGTAATTCATCTACATTAGTCGGCGTCCTCTCGGAAGAGGTACGTCGTCCAGTACACCAGGTTGAACAACGCGAACATTAACGGGAAGAATATTCTGAAAAACGAAAGCAAAAAAATTTTCAAGTTAGTCAACGGCTATCAGAGATTATCACTATTGATTACTCACTCCTGCCAACAGTTCTCACTGTAAAAGCAACCAGTCACGACACAAAACGTCGATCTATTCATCTATCTATGTATCTGTCTCTACGTACGTATAAGCAAAAGCCACGATGCGGACCATTTATTTACCGGGGGTGATTTTCACGTGCGGAAAAAGAGCCCTGCTTTCTCTTCTGGTTTTCCTTGTGAAAGGGCTGTAAGCCACACTACCCCGTCACGTTCTAAGGATTTACCTAATCTGAGCTACTTTTATATGAGGAACTGTGGCGCCGGAAAAAATGTTGTCCACTTGCTGAGTTAATGCCTCGTCAAGAGCACATTTTATTTATTTGACAATTACTTTTTTCCGCTTCTTGCAATAGTGTTATTGTGTAAAATGCGGAAGGGTCTCATTGCCTTGCAGAAGGTACTTTGTTAATTCTACAAACGCAACAGGGCTGAACATCCTATTTGCACTATCTTTAATGGGTTCCATAACTGCAAAAACGCCATAATTTTGCACGACTTACTGAATACCCCATAGGTTTCATACTGGAAAAGGTCGAGCGCTGACCAATGCTACTTCGGTCTAGATTTTCGCTCAAGACGAAGTGAATTACGTTTCGTTTCCTCAAGAAATATTATGGTGATTCCGTTATTCAAATAAAGCGGCTAATACGCTTAACAGAAACACTGACATATACAGCTTTCCATGATAATGCTGCCACGGTACTCAAACAGTAGAGATTTGACGACCTCCTAACTCTTCGTGGAGCTTTTATACTATAGATGGGGTTCATTCTTTACTCGAGCAAGGCAAACGCCATTTCTTTTTTGACGTCTTTGAAAGACACGTACGACTGTCTTTCTCTTCACTGCTGTACACTTCTAGTGTTACCTGATCGTGCAGGACTATCATTAGAACAAGAATCATCATGTCACATCTACCTGTATAACTGGCCACAAGGGAACCCGTTCGAATGAGCAACACCACTTGTGAGCGATCTGGCATAATATGAGTATAATATGCATGGCAATGATGATCTATACTTGTTTGTGGGAGCAGTTCCGAATGCTCACCACGGCTGTGTTCAGACAAAGGTTGTTATCTATAATGCGTAATATAGAGACGCTTTATGAATTTACCGATAATTAGAATACAAGAGAATAGCTTCGCACAGCGGGCCATTAAGGACATCCACTCTCTATGTTTCGAGTATCGCTGTTAGGCATTTCATCAGACGGCTGGCTTCCACAACGAGACAAGGTGTGTCTATCCAGACCTAACCTGGACCACAACGTAGCAGGCATGTGCGTTGCCTACTAGGGACATGGCGAAGATAGAGTAGTAGAAACGTCCATCCGATCCGACCAAAGAACGTTGCACCGCTACGTTTTTTTATAGGCAAAGGAAGCGAAGTACCGGAATCGGTCGTAGACTTTTATATATCTATCTATATATATATATATATATATATATATATACTGGATAAGGCAAAAGTGTTTTTACAATTGGTGGCAGAAGATGCGCGAATTAATAATATTCTTATATAATTTCTATACTCCTATAATACTATGTTATGTCTCGATCAGCTGCATGCACAACGTATGTGCAATATTAAGTTATTACTATGTTACAAGCATTTCAAAGGTTACTCTGATACCAGTCTCCAAAACCATTTATGACTACCGCAGATTGGAAATATAGTAACTCTATCGCACCGCAACGTAGTATTATACTTCTACTAGATGGACCCATGCGCTTTGCCTCACATCTGTGTTACTATTTATTTATGTAATTTGCTAATATTACATCCAAATTATCCTAATCTAGAATACTGACCAGCAGTTACTTCATTCGGATTATTCCGCCCCACCCAACCTGTCACGCTTTGGCGGTTACTTCGTCAGCCTGTTCTGCTATGAACGGATTCGAGTTTAAGTCTTAGAAATATAGGCAAATGGGGCAGCCTTCGGTCGATTTTTAATGAGCGTCGTGATTGTTTTCTAATCTGTTGTTCCTTTATAATCAGAAACTGAATATATCATGAACATGTCGTGATGATTTTATCTCCACTTAGTATGAGATTTTATATTTTATTTTCTTAAAGAGTTTTTCTTAAAGAGGAAACAACTAAGTTGTGGAAAAGACGTTATATATAATAATTATAGGTTCATTATGAATTGCTTCTTGAGCTTTGATATTTTTAGTTCGATTTCTAGTGAAGATTTCTCATAAAGGTCTATATAAATTTCCATACTTATTTGAACCCTTTAAGAACCGCGGGTCGCACAAGGCGTAATGCTCGAGTTCATAATCTGAGTGGGGGCTTTGTCTTGAGCTAGAACACTGTCATCCTCATTCGTATTGCACAAACGTCACGCCGTCGATCTACTTGTAGCCTACTTGTGAAGACTTTATAACGGCCGTAGTGATTTCCGACCTCGCTCGGCCATGTCGACGTAATGGCTCTGGTGTTCCTAACGCTGGCAAGGCACCATACATTGCATCTATTGAAGTTTTTATCCCTCGACATAACTTGAGTGTTGGATGAGGTCAGTTGTACGTCCAGATAACTTTTTTTTTTTAAATTAGGAGTGCCAGTTACGTCCTCTGTGGACGGTGCCCTACCTTGAGATAACATCAATCCTCTTAGACCGGGTAGGGAACCGGGAAAGCCACGAACGGCACAGGTTTGAACTCGTGGACGATGGACCTTTCATATGAACCTGCAATTGCAATGAACAAGTTTTAATCATCTGGTTATTTCTGCACAAGTTCAGGCGAAATGTATACTGTAAACGCTCTGTTACTCCAGCAAAATTACGTGTGTTGGAGCTGTCGACCCCGGCTAGCAGCACTGATTAATATCGCAATCGTCTCTGTCTCGTTCCATAGAGCCTTAGCACTTTGTTATTGCGCGACAATGTAAACATGATGTATAAGCCGGCCGTGTCGTATTTAACACACAATTCTGATGCTAGCGACAACTGTACCAAACTGTCACAGGTATCATTAAGTCAACAACAATTAATACTACGAACGACGATGAAGTATAGGGCAAAGTTACCTACAAATGCTTCAATTTGTTTTTGCAAGTTTGAGCAAAGGCACTTCACTCGGAAGAAAAATACAACAAGCTACTAAACAACGTAAATTAGAAGTGCCATTATTTCGCCTGAAACATATTTATGACTATTATGGTTAGGAAATAAGCGATCCTTCCTTTCAAATCTGTCGAGGAATGGTTGCAAGTTTAACACTTTAAAAACGGCTTATTGGTTCGTATATTCCTATAGTCGAAGGGTTAGTTAGACTGGGATTCAATACCTCTCATAAGCGAGTGATTTTTGACGTGTGAGTCTTACAGGTCAGGAGTTCACGGTGGAATGCTGACCTTAATTTTCAAAAAGAAGTACTTTATGGATTGCCTCTTGACTATTCTATGTGAAAGTATTTACCATGCCGAGAATTTTCCAGCCAAAAAAATCGTAGGCTTAATTTTCTCGAGTTGGGGTTTGTTGGCCGGTTTCTCAAGATTTGAGAAGACCAGCGCCTTACAACATTCTTAGACTTGATCACCTCTTTTTGATCCTATCGAGCTCGTTTAATAAGATGCAAAAGACACGGCTTCGATGACTGACTTAATATAGTTCTGTAAGTACATAGTGTCAAATGTACCACTATTATAATATGTAGCAAATTACTAATTTCAATAGACTCTGATAGTTATACTCGTAAAACACAATGCATATATGTTGTAAGATCTAGGAAACGAGCGGCGCATTGCCTCTACTTAAAGAGCCAGCGTAACAAAGACTGAGAGAGCCGTTAGCAAGAAGAAGCGGTTTTATATGCGGCGTGCCAGCGACAGCGTCATCCCAGTTTGCCTGTTATTGCTACTGCTGCATGATAAGCTGACTGGTCGGTCGTTCGTGCTTTGCGTGCAGTTGCAGAAGGCGGCGGCAATGAAAGCCTATTATACAATTGGGTCAATCGGTAAAACCATTAAGAACAAACATGAGATAATAAATTTGCGAGCGAACTCAGTTTGACCTGCTTTGTTCTTAACCAGCTGAATGATCTTTTCAAACTGAGTTTATCGCATTCAGCCTCTGGAAAGCGGAACAGAACCTATATACTTCGTACTATTTTACGGCCCAGTCTACGGACAACGTTAGATGCTGGTTGCAGCGCGAGCTTCACTTATCGGGCATATTATTTATACGTAAAGATGCGTACTGTGAGCTTGTATTTGTTGAATGAGTAAGCCTTATAGGTTTCTGTTAAATAATTCCAATATAAGGCAGTAAAGGTGCAATTTTGCAATTATTGGCTCCGCAGTCAGTATAGTTGAAACGTCAGTACAGTCCCTAATTCGAGGGAACGGATTGGTAAATATAAGACGACGAACATTGAAGTTTACCGGGGTCGAAACAAAAATCTACGAAAATTAGAATGTTATCATCAAGACCTATATTGCATATAGAGTGTTTAATTCTAAGGCCATTACAAAATTTTTATCTAGTTTATTCAGGGGAAGATTTCTCTTGCGTATACCCATTGCATATACGAGTGTCTGCGAAATGCCTCAATAATTCTGCCATTACTGGTTTGCGCAAGTCGATTGTTTTATTCTAAACTGGGTGATACGCGTAGTGACTACAGAGGTGCGCGAAACGATTGATAGCGAAATTAAGCCTGCTTTTGCCATGTCATATCCCTAAATCTAATAGATAAAAAAATCCCTAGACAGATGAAGACAAGAGAGAGTCTTCGTTGCTCACCTCTTAAGGCAGGCACAAGGTTACAATTATATGCAACCCTAATGCAATATCTTAAATATTATTTTGCTATGCTGGAAGCATACTACAAAGTATTATCATTAAACTTATTTTATTATTTTATTTAAAAGCGCAATTGACCATGTAACTGTCTCAACCAACTAAAGGGCAATTCCTTCTCCTATGTTTTGAATAAGTCACGTGTATCGTATCGTATCGTGCATCATCTTTAATTCTCTTCGGATTTAACACTAAAACGTCTGCGGACCAAGCAGGTCCTAAATTCGTTTTCCGTCATAAATATTTACCTTGTATACGGGTGGTCAACAAAGCTGTCATGTGAGTGATGATGTATTCTTATTTTAGTAGAGTTAAAAATACAGAATTGCTAGCAGTTCGTACGCTATTGCTTTGATACGGACATTATCGTACAGAATGCGTCATAAGTTAGTACTTAATTTCAACTCCTCCGAAATCGAAGTTCTGTCGTTCGCGCAAATCATACCATCGCATCATTACAGATCACGAACGATGCCGTGTTTATTGCGCCAGTACCTTGCAATTATATGTCTGCAAACACAGGGGGCACGCATAAACGTGGAAACAAAATACAACCATTGGACGCACCCTATTGCACTTTAAACGTATACGTTATGACATGATAACAGGGTATCATGGAAATATAAAGATAACATAAGGCTGCCTTCGTCCAGTTTTTACTGTAATCATTTACATATTTAACAGATGTCAAATGAACGTTCTAACTCTCTAGAGACTTCTGGCTCATTCTGTATGTGTATATATATATATATATATACTCTGTCAATATCACTGAGATTCTTTTTTTTTTCGCTTTAATCACTGAAATTTGGTCATAACGACTTATGTTCACCCGCCATTATTAGTAGTAGAAGAAGACCAGTTCTTCCCAGAACAAAACAATCTGGACAACTCATCATGACAGAAAATGGTGCATCGTTTCCGGCATTTGAGGGAAGATCTGTCATTCTGCAATGTCTGCTTGTAAGACGAACCCTCATTAAAATTGTAAATTTTCAATTAACCCGAATAAACAGTGTATAATATCGACGATCGGTATACAACTGCAGAAGAAACAGAAGCTGGTTCCAGCACAGCGGAGAGGAAAATGTTACTCAAGAAAGAACGGAGTGAAGTCGAGAAGAGAAATCAATGCTGTACAAAATTTCTACGTTTCTTATGATCTTTTTATTTCAATTAAAGCACTAACGAAGAGATTTGATGTGAGTGGGGGTCTTGTTTATGAATGTGTCAGGTATACGTAACTTTTTTTTGTTTTCTAAAAATGCAGACAGATGCTTTCAGGAGCCGAAGAGATCTGATTGATGTCATTTGCTTTTAAGTATTGTCAAAAATAAGAAGACATGTAGCACTCAATTTTCTTCGATGGATAAATATCCATTAACGATGGAAAAATCCTGGCGTGCTTCCGATACAGAGCATGTGCCTATTACGGGAAAAGGCAAATTTTCGGCCAGTGTTCATGTTCTGAGTGCAGTGTCCAGCGAAAAGGACGATTCGTCACATCTTCGGCAAAGGTAAACGAATAAAATAAGTTTATCTGCATGTTCTACGAACTGTTGTGCAACTGTTGCGCGTCTCCCAACAAGGTGGTGCACGGGCCCATACTCGCCAATTAGGACAAGATTGGCTGCCTGATAATAGAAGCATGGTCTGCAATAAGCACATACGGCCGCCGAACAACTCAGATTGACTCCGCTGCATCACTACATATGGAGTATATTTGAGCGAGCATGCCACAAGTCTCAACATGAAAAGGTAGCACATTTGTAAAAAAACATTTGAAAAGAACCTGCGAACGGTTTAGGACCCAAAGTTAAGATGTGATCGTGATCGATGACGGTAATATTGAATAAATGTGACCATCAGACATGACACCTTTCGTGCATAAGGAAACCGTTGAAATATATTTGCTTTTGTTTAGATACGGTCTAGGAAAAGAATCCGGATTTAGTTGCCACATATTGTATATATGGAAAACTAGGGCGGAAACCAACTGCTTCATTGCTCGTAGTAAACAAAGAATACTCGGACTAGTATGTAATGTGTAATATATGGTAACTATTCAAATTCGCATCGTGTTAGTAAGATTGGCTTCAACTGTTTCGGTCTTTGTATTGTCTTCACGATGTTGATGTGCAAGCATTATTAGTTAGCCAAGTCGTCTTCACCTCTAACTTGGCGTCTGCAAGTGATTAATAAAATGTTTATCAACATAGTTTTTATATGAAAACAAATTTTCCTAGGATAACAACTCTGGTACACATTTCGGAGAGATGCTCCGTTTCGTATAAGACATTTTCGATGGGCGTTCGAACGCAAGGACGGCTTGGTAGCTTTAATTGATTGATTTCTTCTTCATAGTTGTATTAGTTTAAATATAGTTCGGTCAATAGGAACAACAAGGGGGATTATATATCAGTCGAGTGTCCAGCGCCTGGATACGATAACAGTCAAAAAGAACATCTATCTATCGTCACCCATTCATCTGCTCCGTAAACCTGCCTGCTGAACAAAGACCACGACAGGTTTTCCAAAACGATGCGCTTTCTATTGGGTATCACACGCAGAGCTACATGCGAGCCAAAAATTAATATAGCTTGTTGTAAAATTGATATGAATGTAATGTCACCTCTTTTAGCGAAAGGTTAACTCGAATTTTCGAGTTCTGAGGCATATTTTGATGTGCACAAAATGCGTCTGTATTAGTCAATCCGTATGGCTGTTAGGAAACAGGTGATATAGAGGGTGACACTGTTTACTTCATATACCCCTCTGTTGTTATATGCGGGTAACAAAGGTTCGATTCCAACCTGTACAGAAAATACAATGAATCGTGATAGTCTTTATTAATTATTGCTAAACGTTTGGCTTAGGCATGTTTACGTTTAAGGCAAATATCGGCACAACCAGAAAACTGAAAAAACTATTAGCGATAGGAATAGATAAGCCTGCTAGACTATGGTATGCTGCTTAGTGCGATCGATCGCGTCGTGCGCATACTGGATCAAGTAACTACATAACGGGCAACGGGCGATTCGATATACAGTGCAGAAGATCTGTTGGTCATTGGCCTACCCTTGGCTAGGAAGGCCTCACAACGTTCGAATCTAATGTCGGACCCCAAGTAAATTATAGGCTCAGAATCTCTGGTTCACTGTCGATTAGAGGCGTTTTCTCTAGAACTGGTGATGTTTGTTACTGACCTCGCACTGTCGTATTTCCTGCGGTGGCGCCGTGTGCGTTCTCTGGCGGGGCACGAGGATATCAGCGTCGTTGGGCAGCGCGTTACGTGCCATACCGCCCCTTTCGGCACCACCACCCTGGAATGGCTGCGACGGCAGAGGTGAGGCGATGGCAGAAACAACAGTGCGGCAGTTGCGGCAGTAGCAGAAGCATTATCATCGTCATCATTGTTATGACAGGCAGCGACGTCGTCGTCGTCGTCGTCGTCGAGACGCGCGGCGTATATGTACCAAATTGCGTTTAGCATCACCAACAATAGCAATAACACCACAAAAGTGACATAGAATAGGATGCGGCGCGAGCATAGTGTAGTAAAGACCACAACGGGAAAGCAAAGCGAGGCGGCGGTGGCGCAACGTTAAAAAGGATATGGTATGTGCGCTAGCGACTCAAAGAGGGGTTCGAGGGCAGCAGGGAGAGTGAGTAAAGTACAAGGTTGGCAGGCGGTAAAAAACGCCACGCGGCGCTGGATGAAGAGGAATGTTTGAGGTTCCCGCATCCCGCAAACGATTGAGGACAAAGAAGAAAGCAGGGAAGGAAATGCAAAATCAGGGACGAAAAGAAAGACAGGGATAGATGGACAGGCAGGGGCAAAACGAGATGCGAGAGAAGGAGCAACGGCCAACGATATGGAGGGAAACCGGCAACCGGAGAAAGAGCGAATTCGATTAAGTCGCCAAATTGATAATGCCACGCCATCTTTTCCGGGATTTCCTTATTTTAGCAGGAATCCTTTATTTTACCTCCGTTGCGTGATTTTCCTATACTTGGGATGCTAGTAGCTGGGAGAGAAAGGAGCAAAAGGGGAGAGTGCAAAAGAAAATGAGCCAAAACAGTGACAGCCTAAACAGCCACATTGTTTCACTCCAGCAAAGGACTTTCAGAGTTGGCTAGAGCAGATGCAAATGGCCGCTGCGGTAGTGAGATGAAACTGACATGACAGCAGAAAAAGAAACCCAATACTTCGGTGGAATATGGAAACTACTATTCGCCATTGCCATTCTCGGGCTTCGAAAGGAACAAAGGGAGTAAATTAGCGAGGATGCTCTAAGTCTTGATAGCTTTACAACGCTTAACGATTGTTTACGACGCTACGACGTAATCAACTAAAGCGCGCAACGCTTTAAAAAATCGAGAGATACCAATCTGGCTCGCCAATAGGAAATAGAGATGCGTAAACGTGAATGCCACTGCAACAACAATTGCAGTGTACTACGCTTGCGGGCTTCTAGTATCATTGTTGCCTACAGCTGGCAACAATGATACCATTAGAATAAAACTAGTACTGCTAGCGTTTTGCCGAGTGAGTCGAACACGTAAAGAATAAGCACAACGAAGACAGTATAGAATAACCTAGTCTATAAATAAATAAACAAACCAGTACAGTCTCTTCGAGTTCAGAAGGTTAGACAATATATGTACTGCGTATACGTTGTTATTATTAATATAAGACAGTTACGTAGTACTCATTAACAAGCAAATTGGCACTTACCATAGCGAAGGCTTCATCGCAGTGGTCGATGGCGCTTTGGTTGTTCTCAAGGCCCGCGGCTGCGATCGAAGCAGGCAGAAGCCACTTCTGCCGCTGCTGGCTTGCCTGCGGCACAGACTATAACCGTTGCAGGGTACACATATCGGATTGAATAGCAAGCAAGCGTACGGGCGATTTGTCATGAGATTACGTATTATAAACAGTTGTGAGATTTATCATAATGTGATTATTATTGTTATTATAGCCATAGGTGGAGGAATACAACGTTTATTTATTTGTTCAGTCACGAAGTGCATCATCGTCGCAGCGATTACCATCGTTAACATTGTACGCCATTTTACCAGTTTATTAATGAGTGACGAATAGCGGCCAGAAACAACGTGGCAAAAGCAAGCGATAGCGCCGTAGTCAACCACCGTCATGGTCATCGTGGTTTCATCGTATTGTGTGAACACGCCGCAAGTACAAATCCACCATATCGTGACAGACAAGCGTGATTGAGATAAGAGGAGGGGGGCAATATCCACACCGACAACGTCCCCCAGAACCCCCATATCGTGCCCACCAGACGTCGGAACAAAGTCCGCCAACAGGTCAACCAGACCCGAGAACGATTATGAAAGAGCATTTGAGGAAGACAAAAGCAGCGGACGGGCTCGGATTAGTCAGTAAATCAGCGTCCGGACCGATAATTGGAATTGCCATCGTTATTGTGGTCGGAGTTGTAGCCATCGGCCGGCACGCAGCGGTTTTGTTATTGTGTTACACATGTCCATTTTCCATCCGATGATTTTTATTCATGCAAATTCCACGGTCAATCGTTGGTTTCGGTGGCGGAATTATGACAGGGTCATTGAGATCGTTCGAGATTGTTGTTTGAGACAGCCGGAAGCCGGGAGTCAATGACGTGTCAATCGGGAACATCGCCGAAGTGGTGAACGAGGCCAGTGCCATTATCGTCAACGACGGTAGTGGCATCATCAAGATAGTCGGCACACGCACGCCAAATGCACGAAGCCAACCACGCGAACGAAAATCAAAAACCGTTTTCAACCGTTAGTTTGTTGTTGTTTAGTTGAAGTGAGGTTGAAAAACGCGGGTCGCGTTCGAATAGAAACGAAGACTAGGACGAAAGAAAGGTGCATTCGTAAGAGTCTACAAGTTGTGGAAAAGGGGAAAAATAATTTGTGGTGAGGAACCGTAAGCCTACTAAAGCGTCGAAAGGAAGGATTGAAGTTCGTTGAGATAAAACAAAGTATTCAAATTTTAGAGATTGACAAACTTGGAATTATGTCTTTGTCTACCAATATTATATAAGGCACGATACATCGGGTGGGCTAGGACTACCCTAAATGCCAGATAATTATCAACAGTCACGAATCGCTCAATACTGATCATATTGAATGTGGTTAGAGTTCTGTCAGACGTACCAGTGATTTAGAATAGGGATCCAAAATGCTTTGATGAATACCCAATTACAGATGTATGTGAAAGTCATCTACCTTTGTTTGCACAGAATACGCTTCAAGTTCTTTCCGGAGATATACTGAAGAGGCTATTTAACAATATGGAACAGAAAAAGAACAATGAAGTCTTTCGCGTTTGTGAATCAGAAGGGCGTGACGAATAGGCTATTAAGGCAGGTAAGGCAGCCGTACTGCTAATATGCCGACGCACTATGGTATGATATTATTATTACATACAAAGCAACATGGAGATGATGAAAAAGACCGTTAAGCGCTGGGCTTCATTCGCGGTTATCATTTCTGACAGATGAAAACAACACAGCTGGAACAGATAGGCCAACCTCGTCAGCATGCATTATGGACGGTTTTGAAGAATTCATTTTGGCATTTCTCTATAGAAAAAAACTTAAACCGAGACATTAGCGTCGATAAAGTTATGAGCTGAAAGGCTAATGAATAGTAGCTCATTTCAAAACGGCTCTCTAAACCAAAAATCCTCAGATTTTGATATGCTATTCCGGCATACCCGGCGGAAAAATGGGTATTGCAGAAATAGCTCTACGATGCCTGAATGTGGATCTATAATATTCAGTCATAGAATCATTTAAAGGTCATAGTTTTCACTCTAGAAGATGGCAGGTTCATATATAGCGATCTTCTCGTGCTTAACAAATCAATGACATAAGTAAAAATGCTTCCCTTGTCTATATTGTTTACTTAACTAAATCAACAGAAAAATCATAACATGTAGTCATGAGGAATGCATTCATTCATTCATAGAAAGGCCGCAGGTTGAAATTGGCTCGTGCTTACAGCATGCTACGAATGAACCGCTAGAGAACAAACGTATATTGATGTTATTGTGTGTCGTATTATGTGAATTCGAAAGGGAATACCGACCTGCTTGTGGATGTTCTGCCTCCTCTGATCGGACCGAGAAGCGTAGTTTACAAGGGCGAACTCAAGTAGTGCCCCAAATACGAAGGTCAGGCACACGCCCGTCCACACGTCAATGGCCTTTGTGTAGGACACGGGCGGTAACGAAGCATTGATGCCTGATGATATATCAACATTAAAAAGCAAAGCAGCACTTTCCACAGTTACTGAAACGTATTTCGGCATGTACGTAGACCAGTTTGCCGTCTAGTTTTAGAATCAAATTTGATTCTGCACTGTGGGGGTCATCAATTTAAGCCAAGCGAATATAGACAAACGCGTCTCTCGGCTTCGATAAAAAAAAAGTAATGTTTTTTCACAGAACTACTTATCTAGAACCTACTTCGGCCCTCGCATAAATTGCCTATGCCGATTTTTGAGATTTAACCAAGTTTTCTCGCTGGAGCACGCCACAAGTGACGTACTGTTCGTTATTATTAAGCCAGTAGTTTGGCAAGATTATAACAATACCATTGTGTCAAAAGACCGTATCCGTTTTCCGATATATCCGCCCATGGAAGTTTTGTAGATCATATAGAAAATCGTCCACGTTTTTATTAAGTAGATGTGGCAGGAAATAAAAGAGATGATCGTGTGATTGAGTTGGTTCGGGCTGGATTACTAGTGACAATGCTCATCCCAGTAAAGGTCTAGTTGTTTTTTGGACGTATACAAGGTATGTGCGAAAAAAAAACCCCTTTCTGATAGAAAGATAGAAATCCGTCTTTAATTGCTTTGTCAACCGGATTGTACGTCTTAGTTTTCGCAGACTTGGCTAAAGCGATAAGTTTATTAGGCAGAAATAATTGAGATAGCATCATGCTATTTCAACCGCACCAAATTCAGGTCATAACGTTCTTGAAGTGACGCCTAACATCGCGAAGCTCGGTGGAAAGCATTACGCATCACTTCAAGTGGCTATAGTTGGATCTACAGAGTGCTTCAGCTTCGAGAGTTTAACGTGTTTTTTGACGTACAGATGGATCCAAACGATTTTGTTTAATGCACAGAAAATACTCCACATTTTTTTCAGTGAAGCCTATGGGCTTCCATCCTCAAGCGCCACCCCTAACGACGTAAAGTTCGTTGCAAGACGCCCAAGTTATGACTGATGGTGGGGTTCGATCGAAAAGTTCTTTTTAGTTGAAAAAATACACCTAGTAGGACCTACACGCACGGCATATCCTGACAGAAGTCTGCGCTAGTCTTTTCCCTTACAGAACTAGAAGATTATTCTATGACTACCTAGAGCTATCTCTATCGTTTTAATCTTTGAGCGGCCGCAACAGAAACTGTAAAAAAAAACAATAAATAAATAAATAGGTTTGAAGCTCATTTAAGTCTGTGCTGGCAAAGCACTTTTCTATCTGGCATTTATAGCTTTTCTGTTAGAAACTAGCCCAGTAATGCAAAAAAATCGGCATAAACTTATGCAGGGACGCAATACCATTATTGAAAGTGTATTGTACCTGTTTTTAGACGTAGGACCTTTCTCACTTGGAAAATTTGTCGTGCCGAGTGTTGACAAGGCCACAGGTAGAAAACAAAACTACGTGAGCGAAGGCCTTTTGTTACAATGCTGAGCCAATTTATTTAGATTTAAACCTTAGCATTGATTTTGCTAATTCGCTACCCTACATCGCAAAAAAGAAATGGCAAATTTTTTACCGTTGACCTTATGAGCTGTACAGCAGATGAGGATGTTCTACCAGGAGTTGGTTCTAAGTTAGGGCAATGGAAACAAAACTAATCAGCGCTCATCTAGGCAAATTGTTTAGAGGTCAAAAAAAGTGCAGGGTCATCAACAAATAATGTACGACTCCTTTTGATTAGTGGTCTCTAGTTAAAGACTAGATACCGCCCATGGTGCGCCTTTCGACCTGATTCGTATACACAGAACTCAAGAAGAAAAACTTAATCTAACTATCTATAGCTAAGTCAAAATAGAAAACTATGTTATCTTTAGGAGCTTTGCGCCATTTGTTGAAAAAGTCATGACAGTGCACAAATTGCTGAATACATTAAATAAAACAAACTGCCCATATTTCGGTTATAAAGGTTGTAATAAAGACCCTTGTTCCAAACCTACGTATTCACTAGTCGGGCACAAGCTGGAACCATCGGCACACCAGTTAAACCACTCCGGCGATTGCTAGATTTGAACTCGAAACACAATTACCCTAATAATGAAGTTGAGTCAGAGTCTTTTCACTTCCAGGACTTCTCCAGCATAGTGACAGTCAGTATAAGCATATAGGCATCATTGTTTAGCAAACATCGTTACCCTATTCGTCTTCTAATAAAATTCTCGGTATTTTCTGTTATATTCCAAAACACGAAGCAGAATAGGCTGCTATAGGGAACAAGCAGTCTGCATAAGTGGTTTATTTGAAATGAGCAAGTATGGATTTGAGCAGTTGGTATATGCGATAATCAAAAACCACCCGAACGAAGAGGTCGACGATAAATTTAATTGCCATAGTCAAGTACATAAACTCTTCAAACGTATTTTCATTTGGATGTCCAAAGGTGCAGGAAACACCTTCTGTTGCGAAATTCAGTAAGAGCATGATGGGTTTATTGAAAAACATATTTTCGGGTCATCCACATATTCGATATATCTGACGCAAACAAATATATGATTATTTTGTCCGACATTATGATTGTAACTAAGCCAAATTAACATAAAATGTTTTTCCTTGACTAGTTTTATAATAAAATAGTAGTACTTTATAAATCAACTTATGTCTAAATATTTGGATGCTTTACGTGGGACGCTCCTACCGGAGATTTGTGTCGCCATTGTAAGTAACGTAGTCACTCCTAGCGAAACCCGCGCTGGAATGGATGTTGGATCTAGCCAGAAGGACACCCATGATACGACGACCAGCATGCAGCACGGGATGTAGATTTGAATTAGGTAGTATGAAAACTCTCGTTTGAAGACCAGATCGACCTGTAAGAAAAACTGCAGCTTACTGTTGCTTGTGTTTAGCTAAAAAATAAATCTATCTATTACTAGACGTTTACGCAGTCCGATAAGTCGAAATTTTGCCATTCCAGGTACCATAATACACCCAAAACTAACATCGCGCCATTATAAGATTTATCTGCCCTCGATTGAACTCGCGGTCGATCTTTTCAAAATCAATCTCTTAAGCGTGTCAACTCAGGAACATAATTCAAAATATTCGTGCTCAATTGAACAGTAAGCTTTAGCACGCTCTAATCAAGCGTTACGACTTCATAGGCTAGAATAATTTGCTTGATAAATTCTTGGGAACATTTCCGTATAGCTCCAGCGGTTCAATAGGCAGTCCTATACAAGGACCTACATGAAAAGTAGACGTGCCTCAACTCAGGCGTGAAGTTGAGAGCCAGCTGTTGTATCTTGCTTATTTTTGTTTGAATCCGTATTATTCTCTCTACTTATTTTTCATCTTGGGCAAAAGCGTGTTTAAAAAATAAATGTACCTGTCAGCGGCACCTGCTCACTAGCTATCTTATCAAGCCGCTCTACTCTATAACACAGGGGCCGTTATAATTTATTATAACCGAGCCGAGAAATTCAAATTGACTCTATCTAGAAACGGGACTGTTCGACATGATGCCGCGTCTGTCCACTTGCCCTGCTGAGAACTGTGTTTATCTTAGCGACTTCTGGCTTCGCTTCTCCGCTGCGATGTTTTCAATCTACTTGAGCATTTTATACTATATTGGTCTCATACTAGACTATTCTTTATAAGAATAATTCAGCTTCTGTAAGCGACGAAGGTGATCGGCTGGTTCGTTGCTTTCGAGAGCTCCATGAGAGAAGTGTATTCTTTTATTTCCTGTTTTAGCTCGCTGGCCCTATGTTGGTGTGGCTGAAATGCCCTGTGTTAGCGGCTAGACACGAGTGATCACACGTTAGCTGCTACAGTGGATACAGCTTTACGGTGGCAGTAATTCGAAAACGAGAGGGAAGGAGTTTAGGGGTTGCTGTCTTGGTTTGAAAACCGCCTGCCAAACTGCCATCACACGCGCCCACTCGAGTGTGACGTATTCCTCAGTTCCGTTGGGCTTTCTTAGATCGAAGGTTGAGCCGGCTCCGATTCCTTCTGCAGTGCTCCTTATTACAGCCCTCTGCTCGTGTTAGTCTCTGCTGGTCCATTCAGTAAGTACATAGATACCTGCAAACTCGGCCGGGGGGGGGGGGGGGATCTATTTGCTGTGCCTCTTCTACTACTGGGCTAGTGCTACGAAAATTAAGCGGCCAAGGTCGACCAACCGGTAGGGGATTTGCTGCCAACAAGCAAATGTCAATTGCAGCTTATGCGCTTGTGTGGCCTTTTAACGCGTTTCTGCGCGGGCATGCTGAGCGAGCAGACAGGGACAGACTTCGCTGCACAAATAGATGGACTATGACGGAGTGGCGTAACAGTTGTAGGTCAGTTTGACTTGCTTTGTGGAAACGGATGTCGGGGACAGTTCCTCGGACAAAAACCGATTTCTACAAAGCAGGAGGTAGGCACACAGAGAGCAGGAACATCGCGATCATTCGGCGGACGTATGCAATTAGAAACAGGCTGCTGTATAGAACCTACAAACAAAGACGACAGACCCAGCTTAATCATTCTGTTAGACAAAAGTCCTTTTAGCGGTCCATTTCAGCATCTTGGAAGGTGCCTGTCAGCAATAATAAGTTGTCCTTCACGAAACTCTAGGTTTGACAATTGTGTCGCACCAGGGCATTAGTCATCCAGAGAGGCCTGCTCTGACCTGTCCGTGTGTATGTTAACCGCACTGACTTGTAAGCAAGATCTAGTAAACATTTCATTAATAATGATCGACCTTAATGCATAGATTACAACCAGTACAGTTGGTAAGAATTTTATGCGGCAAACGAATCCTACGACTGTGTGTATTTCACAACATTCGAACAACACCACAGAGGACGCCAGATCGCATAACCAAGTGACCAAGCTAAAAACAAGCAAATAAATAGTAGTAAAGATCTATGCAATTATGACAGTGCGTATTTTTCACCATAGAAGTACATAATTCCTGGTTGTGAGCTAGCCGGACTTTGCATAAGCATCCAGTTTATTCGTCCGACTTGCTGCTTAATCTATTTTTTTCCTTTTCGCTCTCGTCCTGGCGGTCCTGAGCGACCAGGTCTCGCCCACCTTTTCATTAGGATGTCGACAAACACATCCATACTATAAACTCACAAACAAAGATCGAAATACGACCTCGACTCAAGGTTCCGTCAACATTTACCTCCCGTGCAGGCTCACTAGGAGCTGTCATTGCTCCGGGAGGGAGTTTGTCAGCTGAGGCTGGTGGCTGCGCCGTTGCTGTTGCCGCTAAAAGCTTCCTGACTTTTTACATGTTAAAACTCCTATCTAAGAAGCGAGCTGACTGATCAAACGAAAGACTCTGAGGTGGAGCCGAAAAACGTGGGTGGGTCTTTCAAAAAGATTCTTTTAATTCCTTTGTTATTACGAATGCTGTCCTAATTGTCCGGAGAAATAAGCTTCCGGGTTTGTCGATTGATGAAGTTTTAGCCGTGTAATACCAACGGCGGGGGGGGGGGGGGGGTATCTGTTGCACCTGCGTGGGCGTCTGTACGTGTCACTTACCTTGAGGCAACTGTACTCTCCAGTGTTAGTTCTACTGGTGCAGTAGTCAGTGTTGAATCTCTCAAGCGTAAAGCGAGGCAGGTGGAGGTTTTTAGTCACCTGCACTGGGTCGCCCTCTTTCCATAGGAAAACGAGGTCTTCAGTTGTGTAGCCATCTACAATGAACGCAGAGATTATAGCAAAAGACTTTTACTTGTAGTACGTGTACTAGTGTCTATACAGTTATCGATCCGTAGGGGACGGCAGCAGACAACGAATGAAGCAGGGACACGTCTAAAGTACAAGAACGAAGAGGTGCGGGGTCGGGTGACGTAGAAAACCACGCTGAAGGAGTGTTATCAGGAAGAAGGCGACTGATGTGACATGATGGCTGTTAGGAAAGGAGCTAGTGCTTTTAGTTGCTTGTGCGGTGTGAAAATCCCGAAACAGGCTCCAGAGTAATACAACGACTCGAAAAACTCGCAAGAGGCTGCTGCTCCGACGACGGTGGAGGCAACAGCAATTGCAGCAGACCCGAAGGAAAAGACTTTAGAGCGCCAAGGGCAAGCAAAAAAAAGGGTACGCGCAGATAGGGAAGTTCTTTTTACAACTATCGACATGAACGCGACAGTATCGGTACCAGCGAACAGATGCAATATTACTCGAAAGAAAAAATCTTAGAGAAGCTTTAGTGGCTTATTGTAGGCATGTGGGGAACCAGAAGGGGCAAGCGGGACTGGCTATTCACCCAAAAAAGCAGGAGCAAAGCAGGGATGCTTGCGGTGTTGTAGGCTGCTTCCTGCTCAAATTGCAAACTTTCGTCGCCGTAAAACGAAGGAGCAACGGAGGAGATAAAGCAGTGAGTAAAGAGAATCCTCAAACAGCGCTAGGAAATGACGGCAACGATCCTTTCTGGGCCAAGCGTTACTTCTGTGCATCGCTTCTTGTCTGTGTCATGCTTGCATGGCGATTGTCTTGGGCGGAGAGGGCATGCTTGCGTCGGCGAACACGGGAAGGAGAAAAAAGAAGGAAGATTTGGGAACGATGACGATCTGGTAATCTAGCAATCCGACTTTGGCAGTCAAAAGAAAAAGGCAAGTGCTTTCGACGACTTCCCCAGGCGATCTTCAGTGGGGATGTCCGCCTCGCATTTCGAGGTCGCTATCCCGGTCCTATTTGCGTCTGTGACAATTTCAACCTGCTGTTTCAGTTTAACAAGGAGGACGACAGGGAGCAGCAGAGAAACGGGTAAGTGGTTGCAAGGGTAGGATGAAATGCCGTTGACAATACGAGTGCAGTGCACCCGTCCTGTTATACAGCAGGCAGACAAGCTTTTGACGGAATAAAGCAGTATATGAGCAGGGCCCATGGCAGTTTTTTGGCAGGTGGTAGATGATTTGCGAGCGTCACGTTTCCGGATGCACAACAACTGTCGAGTGGTTATGTTTGACGTTCTATTCCGGTAAGCGCGAATCTGAGGAGCTACGGTTACCTAGACTCTGACGAGCGGGTGCTGTAGGAACCTTAGGTGAACAAAATGTAGAAGAGATCGAGTGACCTGGTACTCACATGATGCCATTAGTATAGAGCAAATTTGTTTGTCGAGGGGATAGAATTTGAGGTTCATGGGGCAGCTGAGCACCAGGGAGATGCGAATACTGAACAGGACGTCTCCATTAGGGTAAATCCTGTAAAATAAGGACATGTATAGAAAGTTGATATATTATTTGTACATATAGTTGCCAGGTAAACGCCATTTAGATGTAAAACATATACCTGAGGCATTTTTAATGATAATAATAATATTGATTTTATAGCTCAGTGTGGTCTTACGAGGAAAAAATTAATTTAAGGAGAAAATCAGTGAAGACAAGTGCGGTCGGTTAGCTGAAGCTAGTTCAGTTTGGCCGTAATGGAAAATCCACTCTCGGTTGGTGCGTCGACTTCGTTACCGAATTCGGGAACGTTCGGTCGATCTTGGACAAACGGTTGGACGTCCATCCAACGGAGGTGAAAGTCTAGGAGCAATGAGAGGCCGAGGAAAGAAGTCGAAACGAGATCGCCGGACCAGAACGATGTGTTCTGTGTAAAGCAGCAGCAACAGTAGAGCGCAGTCCAATGGGTCACGTCGCCGTAGGCAAACAAGAATTGCGTTATCCGGTTCGGCAGCTGCCGGTGGCTTCGCCGGCGCTACCACTGCTGCGAGCTAGTACCACTCTGTCGGAAAGATATGCGAAGTCGACAGTGCTACTTCGATTCAACCCCACAACTCTTCCATCACTGACTGTGAACCGAACATTCGGCTGACAAACTTCCCCTGGAAGCTCAACCCTAAAAGAAATAAGCTTCCGGACAAGCAAGGACTGGCTTAACGCTAAATGAAAAAATAGCAGTTAGAACATCGGAATATATGGTAGGTGTTTGATGGTTGTTACCTTACTAGCCAATATTCATAACATAGGACGTTAAGTATTTTTAGGAATTACCTTAATCACATCGATCAGTTTCTGAACTTTATAATTTCAGGTATATCCTCAAACCAGAACCTCAATGCTAAATGTCATACCATATCGAATTTATCTGCTCGATGTTATATTGGCTTTAGAACTATATTTCATAGAACAACTATGTTCAACTTAGCGCGTCGTGATTGTCAACTTACTTTGCATTTAAAGCAACAACTTCTAACATTTCAGCTATACGTTGTTTACACCTCATGTAAATTTTCCACCTTACGTGTTCATTTAAAAACAAGGTCTTTATCTCATCATATATGCATATAAAGTCTGAACCCAGGTAATTTTCCAGCACGACAAAGCGCTGCTATTTAGAAGGCCACTTGTTCGCACTTTACCTGTGTACCGCATGCTTATTGAAACGGATACTGAATATTCAATTGCTTCTTCTGTCAGAACAGTTGATCTAAAGCTGGGCACTTTTGAGTTATTTCACCCTTCTATTTCTACATATGGCCCAGCACACTAAAGCGTAGGTCCTCTGCACACTAAAGCTTTCTGGCTCTAATTGAAGGTTCACTGCTTTCTAAATAACTATTCTTCCCAAGTACACTTTAAGACAACTTTCTAAGTTCGTTAAGTGCCGATACAGTTTACAATGCTTGAGTCACGTGTATGCAACTGGGAATACAGCAACGCCTATTCAACTGACCTGAGTAGCACGTTGGGCACAATAATTTGATGTAGGTGACCCTCTTTCTCATTCGAGAAGAACAAATCCGGTTGCCATAGTTTCTTTTGGTCAGTCAACGTTAGATATCGGATCTGGCCACCAAGGTCGTCGTATTGTAAACGCTCATCTCGCCACTGTTGCCGGAACGTCAGCTGCACTGTGTATTCCTGCAAACGAAGGCCAGCACAAGGTACAGGAGTAATTAAGTTTGGTCGAATATTGTATTTGCGGATATAGCAAAACAATGGGCGGAAATTAGATGTTGCCGCCTCAGCCTCCGCTGCCGTTGTCGTGGCTAGTTTTATCGTTGTCGTAGTCTACGCTAGTTCGTCGCTTAACGCTTTGTGGTCGACCAAGCTGAGGTTGCGCAGACGGACGGGCGGGCAAAAGGCCGAATGTACCCAACGATCAGTGCGGCGCAGAGAACCGACAAACGCTCCCTAAGGTTAATTCGATTTTTTCGTCGAGTACCGAGTGAGTCCCTTGCTGGATGCAAACTCATACATGTCTAAATGAAGAGGTAAGTGTAAATGGAGGCAGCCAAATGAGACTAGTTACGGCCAGCCGTTCGCTTTATTTGGTCATGAACGGTTGCGGTAGTTTTATTACAGACGGACCGACAGAGCTACGCGCTAACTAGCTGCTTGTAAAGGAGTCGAATAAAAAAAAACATCACAGCGCCCCTTTTCTAGCTCTAATCTATCAAAAGCATCTCTAGCGTGAATTTCTAGTTAGATATATAGCATCTAGAGTTGCAATCGATCAATTTGTCTATCTTTAATTTATGATATGACAATATGGGACAATGAACTCTTCATTCTGGTTTTGAGACATTTTGTTGTATCGGCTCTTTGTACCACTTCTTGAGATTTGAACTTACCAAACAGTGCTCGGCTGTTTTGACTTAGCAATAATTTAATAGTTAGCTAGGACGCCTTCCCCATCCAAGTAATACACGTTTGAAAATTAGGACCAGAATCGCAGATCTGCTCATTGGATCACTTACGACGGTGGCGATAACGATGGATCTCGAAGTTATCCATTACCATTCAGCTTCTTTGCTGAGCCAGCCAGCCAGCTTGCTTTCCTTCTTTTTAACTCACCTTTAAAATGAGCCGTATCTTATTTCATTCCAACACGTTTCCTTTTCAGCGTAGACGAACCTTGCTGCCGTTAACAAGCCGACGTCGACAAGATTCTATCGCCGAAGTAAACTTCCTCCAGACGGAGCTTCTTTCATAAACCTAAATAGTACCCACATTCTCATGAAATCCATGGCCACGTATGATGATTCTATGCAATGGCTAGCGCTCTATTGCAATAACACTCGTCAGAGAAGAGTGGATTGAGAAGGCCCGTGACCCTTTCCAATCAAGTCATTCTATAGGAGCGTAGGTATTCCAGAAAGCCCTCGGCGGCAGCGACACCGATTCTGTTACAACCAGCAACGCTCGGCAGAAGCAGTGGATATATTACAGCAAAGCGTTCACTCAGTGAAGGGTGGAGACCTTTTATTACTCTGCGCTTTCATGCCACTTGCCCGCTCTTTTCTGCCCATGCAGCTCATCTCAGCTAGTACAGTTGCTAACCAAACATGGGGATCAGGTTTTCTAGTAAGAGGAAACACTCAACTACTACTAGTACCACCAAGCGCTACTAATCTTCATTATAAAGTTCATATATGGATGCTCGTCCTTGCCATTTGTCAAGGCTTGCTGCGTCTATACTACCCCAATACAACGGTATAATAATCATAGTGGCGCGAAAATCTAGATCCTTCTAATATGACAAGCTGTGTCGATTTAAAGGGACACCGGGTACGTTTTTTCGTTCCTAAGTTTGCTTGGCAATATTTTTAAATGCATATCCTGATATATGAATGGCATATCAAGAGTATGCCATATGGTGTTCTTGTACATTGTGAAATGCTGCTAGCTGTAACACTGCTTGATGCCGATAAGGCTAGAGCTTTATCACACGTTTCTAACAAGCATGCGTAAACACTGCGGCCCATGTGACGGGGCAGTATAACACGTGCTATAGTATTCATCGTGAAACCAAACGTCTCACCAACTTGGTACTCCGCATTTAATGAAAGGTCTATAATACGTACAGAATAATTCCATTACATTTTTCAATATGTAGGTGGCAGAGGGCTTAGCAAGTCAAATTTAATACAAACCCTTTGGCACACCAGATCGAATCTTATATTAGCATTGATATATTTTTAGGGCGCCACCGCGCGTGTTTTTATGTGCTCGTTTTTAGCGGTAGCGTCTATATATCCTCCGCTACTGCGGAAATATTCGTGGTGGCAGTAAATTGAGAATAAGAACTAGTGTCTGCTCTGGTTTGGCCTGGCCTGGCTTTTCTGTCCTTGCCGCCAGCGCTTCCGCCCCTCTCGTCGATATGCGTCGTTGCCTTATTGCGTAAACGGACCACGAACAACAGGATCTATTTGCTACTTGTAAATTTTCCGTCTGCCTGCAAGGCGTCTATCCAAAGGATAGCGTAAAAGATGCTCAGGTCGCGTTGGTCCACTTGGCTGTCCAGACTGTTGTGGAAGGAGTTTAGTAGCCGCAGTTAACTTGTCAGTCAACAGCCCGCGAAGAAGGGCAGCCAGTTAGCCAGAGTCAGTTTAACGGTTCCATCTGTGTAGGCGCAGTGGGCCGAAAAGTCTGCCAGTCAAACACGATTTAGTGTATTCGACGAACAAGTCGAGGCGATTTGGGGCTGATCGTATGCACGTGTGCGTGCACATGCGAAGCGTGAGCACGTAAGAAAGTAAATGAGAAAAAGGAACAGAACGAACGGATGGACCACTTCTTACCATGGTGACGTCATCGATCTTTCCGATGCTACGGATATAGATGTTCACGCGGACGAGCGCTGGTCCATCGGTGTTGTTGATGCCCATAGGCCGGATGCGAGAGTCGTAGCGGCCCAAACCGATGATCGAATCGAGAATTCTCTTTTCGATTGCGCGGAAGTTTGCTTTACCCCTGCGAATTTGTAACATCGACAGATGCTATTAGTCTCATCCTTGTTTAATATCTCTGATCTGAGTTCATGCAGCTTATTTTTGGGGGGGGGGGGGGTACAAAATAAGCGTAAAACAAATCAAATTATATTTTAGAAAATTAGCTTTAGATGGGCTCAAGGGAAGTGAACGTTAACGTAAGAGCAAGCGTACTATATATACAGCAACGATGATTTATTACCCTCAAACACAGGAAGGTAACCAGTAATAGGTGAAGGAAGGTGCTGACATATCAATCACTAAAATAGATAAGTGAGATGTGTCGGAGGATCAAGGATACTCTTTTGAGATGTTACCAAACACGAAAGCCAGTCTCTATGCAGTCTATGGCGACGGAGAAAATAACGCCGGCGAACACTTTTGCTTTAAAACTGAAGTAACGACAAGTTAAATTCGAATTCGCAAAGCTGGTGCTATTTGGGCCTAATACGTCACCTTGGAGGTGACACGCTCAACCATTAGAGCGGCCCTGCTTTATTGGCATTTGTGGAAAAAGTGGCTAAAGGAGGCTGGAGGCCGATATTAGAATGGAGGAATCAAAAAAGAGGAAGCGGCAACAGTCTGCTTTCTTATCGGTAACTTTCTTTTTTATTTTTTTTCTTGGACTTCTTGTAGCGTTTCCATTGCCTTCTTAGTTTGAACATTACGATTACTGAAGAAACGCGCCGACACGTAGCGAGGCCGCTGATGGTGTGATGTCTAAGAGGAATCGCTGCGTGAATGATAAAAAATTTTCGAACTGACTGGAAGTGATTCGCTCGGAAAAAGGATCGTTTTGGTGACAGCTTGTTTCTAGAGGCGGAAGAGATGAATGAACTGTTGTCCGCGTCTTTCCTCCGTGCGTCGGCGATTGGCTTCACTTTTTCGCTTCCGTCGGAGGTGTACCTCTTCTATGGCGCTCACTAATGCCAATTTCGTCAGAACGGCTCAATTTCAGACGTAAAAGACGACGACCTTTCTTTCTGCTTTATCCCATGTCCAATCATTTCTCCTCACTCATTCAGCCTTTCTTATATTGAACTATCGGATGCCAAAACGTTCTGTAGGCGAGTCCATCGCTCGTTTCTCTCGGCAGCACTTTAACTTCGAATCTCAAGCTATAGACTTGCGGCAACGCTCGATCCGTATAGCATCGGCGAGGCTAAAAATTCCATAACAAATTTTCGTGCTAGTGCCATTCATACGATTCACTCCGCATAGCTTCACAAGATACGCAGCCGATAGCCAACTAAGTATATTGTTTCTTTTAGCGATATTTTCGACCGCTTGTTTACATTTCGTATAAACCCATCTTTGGCCTACGCGACTGTTTCTAATTGCTCTTTACTGAAAACCTCCCGTGTTGTGTTAGAAAGCCCAACCTGAAACCGAAATGATGCCTTTCTGTTCCTAATCTAGTGATCTGCGCAAGGTACCACTTTGACACTTGCTTACGTATTCAGATAATTAAATTACCTGAGTTCAACAATCCGTCTGTAGGCAAACGATAGATTTGAAGCGACAATAGATTTGAAGCGGACGAAAAAGAAGAGTTAGGACTCAATATCTTGCTTTTACGGTGCTCCTTATGAAGTTGTGTTCATATCAGCAAAGACCTCAAACAGTAGCGCCTTTGAAAAAGGATATAATACTTATAACTTTCGCTGTTCAGGACATGAAAAAGAAGTTCAGGACAAGGAAAAACTGTCTTCTACGGCTTCGGTGGGGGGCAACTCTTTTCGTTTCTTTTTTTTCAAGCACAGACCCATCCTAGAGAAAACGGTGATGCTATAGACAACCATACTGTTTATGCAGTGGCGCTTAAGAAAGGGGAAGAAATATGCGCATCTCAGTGCGGTATATCTTATACTGCCTTAGATCTGGCAAGCGGTTTACAAGAAACAAACGTCACTCAATGAAGTACTTGTCTACCTACCGCCGAACTTTTTTTTTCGCTCTCACTTCCGTTTTCTTTAGTGGGAGGCGACTAGGTTTGGGAGGCGTCTATCCTGTATTGCCCGCGGAGAACAAACGGTGAAGTATGGTGCCAAGGTCTAGGTTGAAAGGGGCGGGCAAAAGGCAAGCGGTAAAAGGCGCAGCATGTAAATCGCGTGTGCTGGTGCTTACCTACCTTTTCGTTGACTGGCTAACTGAGGCCTGTTGGTTCCTTTACTATAATAATGCGTACGTTTACAAGAATATATGTTCTGCTAAAAGTAATTAGGGCAGGCCGCATGGCGACGATGATAGTGTAGTGTATTGGAACCAAGTAGCGTCGTTTTGGTCGCCTCAGTGGAACACTGTAGGACAACTGCTTACGGGTAGGTACTGGAGTATGAGGAATGCTAGCTAATACCAATATCATGCATACATCACTACCGCTCCGTATAGTTTAGCTTTATATACATGAAACTTTTGTGAGTATATGCGTGTGTATAAGACTGCATATACGGGAAGTTCAGCGATAATGCTAATTCATGATGACCTTCGAGCGAAGCAGGTCAATGCGCAAGCGAACGATGTAAGTTACAGCGCGCGCAGACCATAGTCCATCTAATGATTATAAATTTCATTCAGGGACTAATAGTCACAGCACAGCAGAGACGATGGATTAGTGCTCGTGGTCGTGCCGCTGATGGCGATGACTATTGTCCTGAGTATATGCGTATATGTATGTGTATGTGCGCGTACGTATGTGTGTATGCATTGCGGTGTGGCTAGTACTCACTCTTTGTCGCTAGTCATATATGGGCTCTTCGGTTTGCTGCGAAAAGCCTGCGGTAGAGGCAACGGCTGTTGGTATAGTGAGGGCGAGCTGTAGAAGACACGAATCAAAAAGCAGAAACCGTTAGACGCATGAAGCCAATTCGAACTAATTATTGACCCTTACAACGACAGTGGTGCCATGACAAGTACCCTCCCGGTAAGACCCTCAGTCATTGCGCATCCTTGTGGCTTTTGCAAACAGACAACTTTTTTGCAGTTGTGTTCTCAAATAATACCGGGTTAACATGTTCACTCGTAACTGTAGCTGTCACAATACGACCATCAGCTAGTGACTTGTCAGACTGGAAACACTGGGCCAGCTGTGTATATATTTCTAGCTGGTCACTATATCAAATACAGTGTTAGCTGGCCGACTCAACTGCTTAGCAGTCCTGAACCGATTTTATTTTGGAGGCCTGCTAATGCTTGCTCGGCTGTCATAGCACTCAAGGCTCGTTCGTTCGGGCTGCTTGCCCGAGCCGTCTACCTTGTTTTAAGTTGACGGCCAACAAAGCAATGCAACGAAGATCAGTAGGAAGAGAAACGAGTTGATCCAAGGAAAACTAAACGTTCACCTTCGCACAGCGATTTTGTTCCTATAACAACGCCAATAAGCTGAGGCAGAAAACAGACAAGCGGTACAAATTGAGAGAAATTCATGGTTAAGGGGACGATGAGGAATAAATGAAATGGATAGTAATGATGACCAAAGCTAAAAAGAGCAGTTAGAAGCAAACCGTTCGATGAAGTCGATGAATATGGCCGAAAGTGATAACAATAGTCATGACCTATAGTAAACAATAAAAATCCCTCCGTACATTCTCTTATAATCAGAGATATCTTACTTTTCAGGGTTGGACTTCTCTCTATTCACTGATACAGGCTCACTCACTTTATCTTCTTAGATCTGATTATCTGAATAAATTCCATATCCCAGTGCGATTTTATTTACACGTTAGAACGTACTCAATATTGAGTATACAGCGTTTATCTACATGTGGGAGTTCGTGGACCGTAAAGTAGTAAGTAATATGCATTACAATTACGGATGCAGACTACGCGGATATAAACTATATCTTAGATAGGACTTGTACTAGCAACAATGTATAATTCTTGTCAATCTGAAACTAAAAGTAATGCGATTCAATGATGGAAAAGTATGAATGATTTCCTCATTTTTTTTATTGGAAAAAAATTTCTGGGAACGCCGGCGCACAGATATGCATTGCCATGCAATATCTCTAATTGCTCTGTTAAATGCAGCCTTAATTACGCTTAAAGCGGTCGCTCCAGGTGCGATTGCGATCATTAGATTGTCACCGGACTTACAATATGTATACGTATTATCAACGACCGCATAATTTACTGAGTGCCGCTTGCGCTAATTAATTTTTAAATATACTGATTTTCTCGCACATAAAGCCGTAAAAAAGACAGACGTTGAATTAATATTTCTCCTGTATCGTTCTATTCCTGGTGAATGTAGGAGCTGAGTGACGGCCAGCTGAGCTGTAAGTAAGCTGACGACTCACACGACGCTTCAGATCGCAATTTTTCAGCCTCGCGTGTAAAAACGATGCGGAGTGCAATCACTTAATAAGGGGCAGTTTGAACGGGTTCGGTTTAGCGGAGCCTGACCTAGTTTTTTTTTTGCTCCACAGTTCTAAGAGTCCACAGCGGTAGGTTACGACAAGAGGCCGGGAAGCGGTTGTCGAGCAGTTTGGGAACCAACTCGAAGATGGGGCTGGTAAATCGATATGCCAATAAGAGTTGGAGAAACAACAACGAAACATCAGCTCACAGTTAGCAGAGGAAGGTAGATTACGATGGTTTTGTTAAAAACAGCCAGCAGAGAACCCATGAAAATTCGGAAACAAGTTTTAAATAAAGCAGCGTCGTTTTGAAAAGGCATGAAACATATGACGTCCACGACACGTAGGCACTACAATAAGGACGGGCAAAATGCCCTTTGACGATCGGGTAGGCAGAAGGTGGGCCCTGTCGAAGAAGAGGGGATAAAGAGATGGACCGGAATATGCAGCACAAGCTAGCGGAAAGAAGGAAACGTATGAGCAGAAACAAGTACAGCACGAAGGAACTATGAGAAATCCAAATAGGACCAGCAGCAGAAAGGACATCGAAATTGACTAACAAGGAACTCAAGGAAGGTAGGGAACGAGAGTCTATCGTTAAGCTCCCCGGTCAGCATATGTCAAGAAGAATGAGGCAATAACTTCCATGGGTTTCACCGCCCATATCGAGGGAAGAAAATGTACGGTTATACTGGATAAATTTGAAGCTTGGAAAGACTTAAAACGACGAAACAGATCTAATGAATTAGGTAGAATCGTACAGCACGAAAAAGCCGGAGAGTGGTACTACGAAATACCTTAAAAAGAAGTTTTTTTTTTTACTTTATTTTTTTGTAGATCGTAATTATTGCAACACTATGGCGAGGCCAAATACTTTCCTTAGAGGCCTTTGTAATGACATTAAAATATTGCACACATTTGCAATGGCAATATATGATGGCCTTAGGAACATCAATAACAAAATAGAATTACAAATAAAACCCCTGAATAACTTTGTGCAGTATATACTCGTCAAAGATCAACACTCAGACCTTCTTCAGGGTTCTCGACTGCTGCACAATATATATTAGTCATAATCGCATTGAGATATATGTAAATATATTACATGCAATACAAAAGTTAACCGTATAGAGTATGAACGATTTCCATTTCACCAATGACGGACTACGGCGTTTGCCTACTAATCATCTTAGAAAATATAGATACGAAGCGTACTTATTATACAAAAAGAAAACACTGCCACTATGGACAGCATCGATAAGACACGAAAATGAACCGCGTACAAAAACGACAAGTCTTTTTTTTTGCCTTAACTTTGCCGGTGTTCTATAGCCTTATAGAAAGCTTGTTACGATTTTTGCCTTGACAGGAAATTATTACAATGAGTATAGCATTGTTAAACAGCATTATTTTTTAAATAAAAGAAACTGAATCTATACTGACGCTACCGGAAGCTGTGGCAACGTCCACTGAGGCGGCGATAGCGTTGTTTTTTGGCGAACCTTTCGTGACAGATCTAAGAACATCATGGGATGGTGAGCAATAAGTTGTTTGAATTGAAGGTGTACCCAAAAATACAAATATTTGTACATTACGAAAGCTGAGAGCACATGCCAAGCCGATTGGTTACCATCTAACAAAAAAAATTCCAGGTAGTGCGCGGTGGGCATGCTTAAAGCAGAGCATGCGCGGCAGAATGACAAGTAAATAATCGAGGCTGTTGAGGGCATACATAAAAGTGACCTATAGATACTGTGATTAGCTAGTACACAGGTCTAGCGGCAACCACTCAATGTTAATCTAATACTGATAATAATGAGGTATTGCTATATGTAGTCATAGAGAGAGTTACCCCCACTGTATTATATTCTGTATCCGTATCTGCCTACCTGTACATTCGTGGATGTGTTTGTACATTTGAAACCAACTTGGTTTGACTACCTTAGCTAGCTAGTTGCAGAATTCGAAGAGCTTTGGCTCTTTTGGCTGCCTCTGCCGCAACGCATCCTAATGGCTGTGCTAGTCCGCCGTACTCACGCCACGTAAAAAGCGTGAACATTGCGTGAAATGATCGTGTCAGTTCCTAACGTTGTCGTCTTAGTCGAGCTAAACACACACTTACTGTTTACTATAATAACGAGTAGGACACTTAGCTGTAGAAATTTGGCCTCAAGCAGCATCATAGTCCCGGTCCACACATCGGTTCACATCACACAATTGACAGCTTATCTGCGCAGCTACAATGAAATCGCGGCATAGAGTCTATCCGAATATGAGCTATCGTTGCAGAATCGAAACGAGAGTTTTTGATATATAATGATGTCTACTTTTGGACGAAGCAATAACATCGTGAGCATGTCAAAGGTCCACGAGTATAAGCGCCCGCAAGGCTGGCAAAAACCTACATTATCTAGAAGGCGGGACATTGATAGCCGCCCTAAATCAAGGGTACGTGTGGAAGGGACATATCGCTTCGTGTCCGTGTGGTGTATGCCGATGTTGGCAGAATGAAGCTAAATATTAACTAGATCTTTTTAGCCCAATTCCTCTTGACAGCGTAATCAAAACTAGAATAGTACTCTACTGAATAAGCCTCCATATTCTAACGATAGCCACGCCACAAGGCGCACAACCGCACCATGGCTAGACAGCCGCGAAAAAGAACCAAAAAACACCGAAAAATATGGTGCTACTGTAGTTGAAAGAAAGAAAAATGGGATCGGCGCTTTGAGATTAAATGCTTGACCTTCTAGTAAAGATGTCCTTTGTCAGAACGTTGAACGGATGTGATATCACTGCAATGCGCGCGAGTCTGCTTTAGGCTAATATTCCCGGTCAGCTCTCGAGGTGGGTGGGGGGCCCGAAGAGAATGCGAAGCGTTCATAATAGATGACCTTCTCGATTGCAAGCGGGATATTTGGGTCGAAGTCAGAATCTCACCGCCATCGTGTTTTTTATTTTGATTATAGCGTTATTGTACATATGAGCATTTAGCATCGTATATAGGACAGTGACAAGGATTACTAACAACTTAAACAAAGCGGCAATTACAAGACACTATCAGCTTTTTTTTTCTTCTTTTTATTTATTGCCATCTGTAATGAGGCGAATTATCATATCAATCTCTTTTTATTGGACCGATTTGACGACAGTCCTCTTATGTATAGCCGTCTATTGGCTTAATAAGCTCTATGTTCTGAACTTTACACCTTCGCCGTATCGCCGTTAGGCGTTCCATGAGACGGCTGGCCTTTAGTACAAAACGCAGTGTGTTTATGTCCGAGTTCGAACCTAAACCACAACGCGTCTCGAAGACTGGCACACAAATACGTAACCCACAAGGCTATCAAGGGGACTGATTGCATGAGTAATTTAAAGCTAGTAGAGAAGACGCTCCCATAACATGCGTTTTGTCGACATACAAACATCGTGCAATGGTTGATATAGGCTAGAGAGAGTTTCTCAAACGGGGGTCATTCGCTCGACCATAACCGCATTCACCATCATCGATCCCAATGTCATCACCGTCATACCCATCATCACAGTTGCTAGTTTGGTATTCTTGTCACGGCGACGTCCCTTCGAGCGGCTTGTGAGTGTACAATTTTCGCATTGAGGAACAACAGTACAACGAAACCTTGTCGCCGTAATCCCGGACTTTACCGGCTCTCTCAAAGAAGACACGGCACTCTCTTTTGTTGTCAAGCCGCTATTTTGTCATTGACGTCATCCTCTTCTTCTTCATTTGAAATCATGTCTAATTAGGTACTAATTAGCCAGCCAGGAGCACTTCAACCGTCTTAACCACCTGCTGCAAACTTCTTAGACTCCTAATTTATTACTAGCACCACTGTTAGAACGCATTCCATTGTCACCTGCCTATTGCCTTGAGTCGTCTTCTGTTGGAATAATTATTGAGAGAACAGGGTTTTACAACAGGCAGCCGACCTACAGAGTGATCGTCATTTCCAGAAAATAACAAGAGGAAGTTTTCAAGCCATGTTCGTGTGGTTAGTTTGCGACAGTAGAAAAAAAATAGAGTTAAGCTTACCTGACATCCGACAAATCTTGAATTTGCTGTTGTTTGTGGTGACCTGTTGGGAGGACTGACGCAGACACCACCCGCCACCTGCGAATACACGAAACAGGTACCATTGAATGAATAAATAGCTAATAAAAAAGAGTATTCTGCTATACGTATAGCACTGATGATCTGATTTAGGAATTGGGTTAATTAACGGAGATTTCAGTAATCGTATCAGTGGTCAGAAGTGCAAAAGCAAGTGAATGATGCTAGATTTAACAGTGACGACTGATTTAATTGTGCATACACTCTGCTATTTATCTTTTTTAATTTGAGATGTACATATATATGTAAACAAGAATGTTAACAGCGAGTCGTGCGTGTGTATCAGACCATCGCATATCTTCGACGATTGTCTGTGTTTTCGAACTCCCTAATTTTCACCAGCAACACGCCTTGTGCGTTTCTCGCTACGCGTCCTATTTATATTTCACTGAGTATGATCGTTTTCGTAGCATCTTAACCTTACGTTTATTACTCTTCTAATCTCTAGGTTGCTCGAATTCATTACAAAATCACTTATAAATTTTACGGGTCTCTGGTTTTAGCCGAGGGTGCCTGGCGAGTCGGGTGGCTTAGTTGAAAGACCTTGAGTCTAGTAGGAATCGCGCGGAAGGGGATGAGAGAGGGTGTACACATGATGTTTTGGAACGACACTAGTCTCGCTCTAATGTCCGTCGTTCCATTTGCATAGAGTTGTCATAGGCAAAAGTAGGAAATTGAAAAACAAGAATGAAGAAGCTAACTAGATGAGTTTTCCTGCGAGGATTCTTTTGCTCTTAGACGAAGCTGAGAATCATTGAAGCACTTCAAGATGTTTCTCGAGAAGCGATGGTGGGCGCACGAAGTCATCAGAGGGCATCATCCATTGTACGTTCCGTTGATTTTATCGCTGCTGCTGCTGTAAAGACGAACTGGATGTGCTACTCTATGACAAGTAGCAGACAGACTTAGTGCGCAAGTCATTCTTCGAAACATCCCTTTCTAATTTTCCTTTTCGTCCCTTTCGGCTGGTTGCCATGGAACACGTTTGCACCTAGGCTTAGACTCCTTGTATTGCGTCTGCTGCTGACACCGTCGTCGCCGCTGCTGCGACCGTCTCTATGCTGGTGTCTCAAATATTTAGTTCTTCTACGTCCGTCTGCCAGCCACGCGTAGAGAGCACCCCTCTCTTCCTGCTCCGAATCAGCAGAACTACCCCACTACTTTTAGCATCCGTACCCTGACCCCCCTCCCTCCCTGATCTTACTTACTTTCAGATATGCCTTCGCTTTTTGCTGCTTCCTTTACGCTCGACCCGGAGTCACTCTCTCCTTCTTTTTGCTGGTGCTACTGCTACAGTCGCTCAGACATTCGTGCATCTCATCGAATCTTTCCTGTCTTTTCGTTGCGCTCTCTCTCTTATTTTCTCTGACTAGCGCTGATTTCTTTCTCGAAGACTCGTTGTCTTATTCTTGCCCGTTATCTCACTTTTTTCCTAGCTATCTTCGTTGTCGTTTCGTGCGGACGGCGGATAGACCGGCTGAAGAAACGGGCGAGTTGTTGGCTTACTGCCAGTTCGGATAAGCGAAAAACACTTGCAGTTTTGCCGCACAGCAGCAGCGAGGATGAGCTCACATCGATTGAAAGAGATAGAGCAATTGCTGGCCTGGCTGTCCATCTGAAGAAATGCATTAGTGCATAAAATGCCCCCGCCACTAGTACTACAATTACCAGACGCCGACAGACTAGATGAGTCCTGAGTGTTTGCAAGCGACTGGAGTGTTCGTTGGATTAGTGCATAGACACCCTTCGACCCCCCTATAACCCAAACACTACTCTTCGAATTACTAATATATGAGTATAAAAAGTGGTTCAAAGAAGCTGATAGGACTGGAATGGAAAACGCTTCCAGTGAAAACCGTTACACCGCCAAAAATATCTTAAATATTTGCGTTACTTATTACACGCACAACAACTGGCTGATTGACTGACTCATTTGCTGACTCCCAGACCATATCGACTAACTGCACAAAAGGGACCAACCAGACTTAAGTAGTTTTTGATTTCGAGAGACGTTCCGACAGCGGGTAAACGTCAGGGACAAACGCACCCAGGGTTCAAGGCGATTACGGGGGCTATAGAAGAACGAACGGGACAAACGCTTCTATGTTAAGTATCCCAGTTTTCTTATACGAGGAACGAGAACCCCTATCGTTAGCGGGTTCCCTAGAAGGGAAAACCTGATAGACCGATAGCCTGTTTCTGACTGCCGACCCATTCACACGGTCGGAGTAGAGCAATCTGCTGCCTTGACCTAAACAAATGTAGGCCTCTCAAAGAAACACACCGGCTGCAAGGCAGATTGCAAGAGCTACCCTTAATTCTCTTAAGCGTCTATGAGAGTTATAAAGGTAGATCACCTGATTTATAATGTCGTGTGCCAATTTCAATTTATACTTTCGAAGTGTCAAAGTCCAAACTGTCACCGCCGATACACCGATTTCTTGTCACCAGTTCAATAAAGCGATAGAACAAAATTTAAAAAGGTTATTCATCGGTCAAGACTATGAAGAAAAGTCCACTGTACATGAAGCACTGTGACGGTTCAGCAGCGCCCACGATAACAGTCACTATGTTTTAGTGTAGCTGCAGCGGCGATCGATTGAACTGGATAGGCAGCACTTTTGAACTCGGTAAATCCCATAACGCAACTTCGTTAGTTATCGAATAGCGAACGTACGATGGAAATATAGCACCACGAGGGAGCTACAATTGGTTTGTGGCCCATTACGTACTGATGTTTTTCTATATAGCTTACTTGGCTCACACTTATCCACGTGTTGGCTTCCATAAACACTGAACGTGTCTGCGAGAAAATTGCTAGCAACTTAAACGTACTCGGCGACACATTTTCATCCCGCGGCAATTTGATTTAACGTCGCACTGTTCAAGCCTTCTATAGAACTCTCCCTATGCGTATCGTGGCTATTTTCAGAATTAACTGACAGGCACAGTCCTTGTACTGCAGTGCGAATTTACGCACAACCGTGTTTCCCGTCAAGACGGCAAAGTCCTGTTAGGGTGGTAGTATTTCTTGCAACTGCGGCCGTGCCCGATAAGATCGATCCCAAATTTTTCCATTTTCCCAACGGTAGACGTGTAGATTTCTACTCAACGGAGTAAGGACAGATGTAGTTTTCCTATTTTGTTTAGCACCCCGGCACCTGTTGCAGCTACGTACGCACTGAGATGCTCAGTCTATATTCCGCAGTTTGGAAAATCACACACCATCAACTAATGTACAGTTGTATTTACATGTGATTGGCACTGATAGGACGTTCGATATACATATGTTTATATATATATATATATGTAGCCTCAGCTAATTTGGGCAGGAGTGGCCGTGGTCCCCTTCGGACCGGTAGCACATAGGATACTTTTGCTAAGGGCGATTTCATAGATCCTTCCCGCAGCATATTTCGAACTTTACAGTATCGTTACATGCTCGCTATTATCTTTCACCTTGTCTTGGCAGGTAAAATCTGCAGGAACCGCACGTTTACGCTTCATCTCGGAGGAATGACGTAAGGGTTATTTCTTTTCAGAGCACGTTTCAGTAAGTATTAGGTCTTTGCAGCGCACTGTCTTAAACCGTTCGAACTGATCCGGTATAGGAACTGACTTCCACCGTGATGAACTTTGCGCAAGTAGCCGATTTTGCGGCTCTTATAAAATGAGCTAAGGAACACGCTGCATTTGAGCCCTTGTTCCTCCAGCAATGCTCGTTTAGCATACAAATTGTTTGGATGTTCCCTTGTTCGTCCTGTAATGGCAAAACTACTACTCAAGAAGTTCGGCTGCCTCTGAGAGGAAATGATGATAGAGATCCTCTTTGAAGTTGCCCCGTGTAGTCGTCCCATACATAGGAGTCGAACGACACTCAGGACGTCCCTCTCGGTGTCATCTAATCGGCCGATAACTCTCGAGCCTGAGCCAGGTGCTCAAATACCTCTAGCCACCTCTTCGGCCGACTTTGTCGAGCGCCATTTCCTGACACGCTGTCTAATCATCTAATAAGTACTTGACAATTCGGTTCATTAGCGTATACATATTGCCAGCCATCCCACAAAACTGAGCGGACTAGTACAGTTTTGTCATTGGCTGGCAGTAACAAACAATCAGCCGTGAACAAGCATTTATTCATTAATTTATAATATATATATTCGTATCAAGAACAAAGCAATCACTTAACACAAAGTAATTATGCAGGTCATTCTTTAGAAAAATCTTAGTGTTACCTTAACGTTTTTACTACACAACAGACATCTAACAGCGTTTTTTGCAGTTGCTACATGTTTTATCTGAACCGGTTTGCAGAATGCTCAGAGTACATACGATATACAGAGCAGAATCGTTTCGTTTAACACGACATAATAGGCTAATTTTGAAATGCCTACGTAATGATGAGTGTTGTGGCCCCCAGAAACCCTGTAAAAATAACTGGGCACGCCAGCCAGTCAGCTTTCGCTATCGCTAGCCTTTTCGATCCTTCTTCACCTGACTAACGAAACTTATAGACGGTCTCAACCTTCTAGAGCAGGAACCTTTGCATTATGAGCATTATAAGCGGCAAAAACCTTCCGGTTCCTTGTTTTGCAGAAGGCGCAGATCACGACAAAGAACCGAACGAAGAAACGACAGGTATTCGTCAGCAGAACGATAGAGGGCTAACGCTTCACTGTGCTGTTCTCGACTGTTCCCCGGCAAACTGGCTTGTCGCAGCTGCGGGACCTCCCTCTCGCTGTGCCTCGTTTTGGTGTTGGTGTGAAAGTGCGCTCTCTTCCCCCGCTAGCTCACTGCCTGTTCGTTTTTGTCTATAACAACAAGGAAGAAATGATCGAAAAGGAGGAGGAAAAGGGAACATGAGGAGAACGGGAAGGTAATCGAGAAAGGGCCTTCCCATACCTCCGTTCCCTCGTTTAGCAGAAAGAAGAGCCACACTTGTATAAAGGTACATATACAGACTTACGCAGATACTCAGCCAGACCAGTGTTTCCCGAGCT